CAGAAGTTTATGTAAATCAACCCAAAGGCTATGATGATGGCACGAATAGAGTATGTAAACTTGTAAAATCAATGTATGGATTAAGTGACAGCCCTAGAGATTGGTATAAATGTTTTGATAATTATGTTCAAAAAATAGGTTTTAAAAAAAGTAATATCGAATTATGTTTATATAAACATGGAGAAGGAGATGATGCTGTATACTTATTGAACTATGTAGATGATATTTTGCTCTGTAGTAAAAGGAAAAAGAAACTAGAAATAATCAAAAGAATCTTAGCTAAAAAATTTAAAATAAAAGATTTAGGTGAAATGAAAGAATATCTTGGAATAAATATTGAGTATGACTATAATAAAAATAAAATGAAGTTAAACCAAACAAAATATATAGAGGCATTAGCTGAAAAATATGATATAGCAAACAGTAAATTATATAATACACCAATGGAATCTAAGTTAAAACTTGAAAAGTCAAAGATAGATGATGATGAAAACATTTTGTATAGAAATTTATTAGGAGCATTATTATACATTAGTGCAAATACAAGACCCGATATTAGCTATAGCGTAAACTATTTAAGCCGATTCCAAAATTGTTATGACAAAACTCATTTCAAGTATGCGCAAAGAATATTAAAATACTTGTATTTAACAAAAGACTTATCTTTAAATTATGAGAAAAATACAACGTGTGAAACTTTAGAATGTTACGTAGATGCAGATTGGGCTGACGATAATATCGATAGGAGATCTACTAGCGGTTATTTAATTAAATTATACGGAAATGTTATTTATTGGAAATCGCGAAAACAGAAATCTGTAACTAAAGCATCAACGTACGCAGAATATGTCAAACCGAAAAAAAAATTATTGTAGTATTCTACGTGAAAAAACAAACATTTTTTCTCCTATAAAATTTTTTTCGATTGTTACAATTTAACGGAGATAAAAAATGTTGAAAAAAACTGTCACTTCCAGGAAAAAATGCCCGTGCGCGCGTCATATTTGACGAAAATAAATTTTTGATGTATGATTCAGATTGGGCTTGGTAATAGCTAAAATATGGTGTACTTCAAATTTTCGTACGATTTTTTTTCCAAAATTGGCTAATTGTCAAAAATGATAAAAAAATTTCAGAATTTTCAATTTTGCATAATTGTTGCAAAATTTAAAAAAACAATCGATGGCAACCGTGAGTCATATCATTTGAAAGCTCTCCGAAAGACCTTTCAAACGCACCCACGCGCGTCTCTGTACGTTAATTTCTACCAGAGATATAAAACTTTGAAGTTAGTCTGATTTTGCCCGTGGGGGGGTAAAAGTGGCTGACCGGCACTGTAGTTCTGTAATCAGAATATATTTCATTATATGTTCCTTTTATTTGAGTGTCAAAGAGGATGTATTATTATCATTATTGTGATCATATTTTTATTATATATATAATATATTTTTATTTATGTTTCTTTGGTTGGTTTGTTAATATGTGAAATTTGGAGTCTATTTAAATGAACTACCTTTGTGGCCTACTTCTTCGCCGGATCTCACGTCACCCGACTTTTTCTTGTGGGGGTACGTGAAAAATGTTGTTTTTGCACAACGGCCAACCTCGAGGGAGGATATGATGGAACGAATCCGTACAGCTTGCGCAGCCATTCCTCGAGAAACATTGCTCAGGACTGTGGACAGTTTAGAAAGACGTGTACGCATGTGTCTTCAAGCCAACGGAGAAAACTTTGAACAATTTATCCGTGGTTAACCGTAGCCATTGTGAGAGGCAAGAGGACTCACGATAATCTAGCACCCCAACGCGAGAGGCAAGGGGACTCACGATAATCTGGCACCCCGACGTGAGAGGCAAGGGGACTCACGATAATCTAGCACCCCAACGCGAGAGGCAAGGGGACTCACGATAATCTGGCACCCCGACGTGAGAGGCAAGGGGACTCACGATAATCTAGCACCCCGACGTGAGAGGCAAGGGGGCTCACGATAAACAGAACTTACTACGTCCACGTCGTTGTTTCCGGGTAATGCTAAAAGTAAGATAAAAGTACTTTTGTTTTACTTTCCTTGTATTACAAAAAGCCACTCATGTCTGAAGAAGAATCAGCAATCAAACAAAGATTCCTAAACTGACCTTGATATGACCTTCTTAAGATTAGGTTAAAAAACTAAGAAATCTCTATCATTATGTAAGAAGTAACATTCTTTTAGGACCTAATATCATAAAACAGGAACTGCAGTCAAAAAAATGGTTTACCAATCAAAAAATGCGTTATAACCTTCAAATAACCTTGAAAATTGATGCCAAGGTCAAGCTAATCAAAGTAATTAACACCCTTAGAATTTATTGATCTTTCACAAGCATTATGAACGGTAATATTACCAAGAAAACCACGTCATTTTATAAAAAGTACGAATAATAGTTTTTTCAGACATTTGACCTTCATTTTTGACCTTTCCAAGGTCACAAAAAAAATTTTTGCATAAGACAATTTTGATTTAAAATTTTCCGCTCTTTCCAAACCCGCACTCAAAAATAGGGGTTCCCATTTGAAAAAACCATCTTGACCTTGAAATGACCTTCAAAATTAACTTCAAGGTCAAAACTAATGGTACCGTCAAATGGCCCCCTTTGTCTTGACCAACTTTTGTCTGAAACATTTTTTTGCAGATGTCGTGGTTTAGAAGCAATTCGGGTCCATAGATTAAAATGGGTCACCCTGTATGTATACAACGTATCGCTCTCACGAAGAGGATTACTCGAAGATATTCGAGCTAGTCGACCAAATACGACTACATACGGCGTATGCTTGATACATTCTTGTACACAGGTATTGTAATTCAGGATAGCTAAATTGAGCCAATCATCCCAATCATAGTTAATGTCGGTGTATTGTTTTTAGTATTCAATAAGTGCGTGATGGGATCTCTCAAGGAAGCCGTTGGATTGAGGCATGAATGCTGTAGTTTTTAATTTTTTTATTGTAAATTGCTTAGAAACACGCGTCATTAGCGAACTTAAAAAGTTTTTGCCTTGATCAGTAAGTACAGCTTTTGGGCATGCAAAAATGCAAATGAATTTCTTGATAAAAACGTCAGCTATGGGAAATAATAAGGTGTCTGGTAATGGGACAGTCAGGCAAAATTTACTGAATTGATCTTGCAAGGATAAAAGGCATTCATTTCCTTTTATGGTTCTTGTTAGAGGACCCACAATATCCATTGCAATTTTATCGAATACCGTAGCACATGTGTCAGTTATTATCATCGGGTATTTGGTTTGTAAACGCGTTAATTTCTTTAGCTGGCATTCAAGATATTGTTGAATACGTCTCTGAATATCATCTTTCAAATTTTCCTAATAGTATTCTTGTCTGATTCGGTAAAAGGTCTTTGAAACGCCACGATGTCCTCCAATTGGGGATTTATGGAATTCATAAAAGATCGCGTCTCGTTGTTCTAAGGGTACATACGCTAACTCATCCGTACAAATGATTACTTTTATTCTAATATTTCTAAAGACACTATCTAATAAATTTAGTGTTTCTGGCCAGCTTACATTTTCTATGTGTTTACTTTGAGCAAAACAAATTTCAATTTGATTATTATTAATTAACAAGTCTCTTAATATTTTTAAAGTACTATGTACATAAGTTTTAACATAAGAAAGGGATTCTGGATGGTCTCCTCGTATACAAAGTCCAAATTGATAATAGTTCTTTTTCTTATTGTCCTTCGAAACTTTGCCTACTCGCAATATTTCTTTACTATTAATCTTTTTGTTTTCCATTAGTTTTCGCACACATCGTCACAAGGCTGTCCATTGCTGCTTATAAAGTAAGTAACATTTTCGTTTCGAACATATAAAGCTTCTTTGATTTTAACTATATTAGTGGGGTTGTTATTTTGGTCTTCGAATTCGTCCGAACTACTGTTTATCGTCTCTTCCTCAGAATCATTTCCTTGTACGAGGGTGGTTCGATAAGTACTTAGCCTCACCGCCCGATGGCGCCACTCTCGCAAAAGAAATATTCTATCACGTAGTACAACCTTCTCGATGGTTACTGTCAAGATTTCAGCCGGATCGGAGTTGTAGTTTATTTTTGAGAACGTGTGAAAGCAAGTGTGTCCGTTGATTTTTGAAAAATGGAAAAAGATGTCATGCGAACTAATAATAAAATAATATAGTTATCTCCTGTAGCTAAGAACATATGTTATACACGCGTATTCGACCATGCACCTTTGGCAGGACTAATCAAGACCAAGTCACCCGAAATCGGATCGAGGATATTTAAACTACTTCTTAAAATAGCTGACTTTCAGCCAATGGTTGAATATAAAAAGGGTAGATTAAATACTAACGCCGACGCACTTAGCCGAGCATCTTGCACTGAAACTCTTTGCAGCATTGTATGGACGCGAGACAGTTACCCTGCTCTCACTATCACAAAGGACAAATGGCAATCGACGCCAGCAACAAAATTATTGAAGGAGTCGACCGAAAAGGGGACTAAAGCGTTAGAATTTAGTGAAGATTTTACCCTACAGGAAGTTAAGTCACCTAAGAATGGTAGCAACATCAAACGGCATTAATCGGCTCTACATAAAAAGGAAACATCGTTATGAAAAACCAGTTGATGCAAACAAAACTATCAAGTCTGCTCCCCTAGCTGACCCGGATATAGCTAGTGAGCAACCTAAAACTACGGCAAGACCATTATCGCCAATAACGAACGATGTTGAAGATTCAGATCTGCCTTTAAAACAACGACTACCTCGCCAACGACGAAGGCCAAAAGTAAAGTCGCAAGTTATTATGAATAATAAATGTAAAGGAGACGTAATTTTGGAACCTTCTGAAGAGCTTATAACTAATCTACTGCCCGTAGTAATAGACATTCTTAATAAACTCAAAGCTGATGAAATTCTAGAATTCAGAAATTCGATCACAGTACATCTCAAAAATTAATTCAGAAATTTGCTGAAATGGCCGGGAAAATGAGGCGGCCAACTCTCTACATTAAAAGCACAGAGCAGCAACACGTAAATAATGAAGCTACACAAAAAACACTACTAGGTAGGGCACACGGTGAAACACACTGGAAGCAAGATAAAATGACAATTGAACTTAGAAAATACTGTTGGGAAACAAAAACAGAGGATATAAGAAATTGGATCGATTCGTGTGAACACTGTCGTAACGAGGAGATAAAGAAACGATTCCGAGCGCCAGGCACACTCATTGAAGCACCCTCAGATATCAACGAAATCTGGTACATAGACCATGCGCAACCAAAGAAATATTTATATTTATTTGTAATCGAAGCACTATCAAGATATGTAAAGGTCATAATTCTAAATAGTTTCGATGAAACCACAGATGCCCTTAAAAACCTATTCTGTGAATTGGGGACGCCTAAAAAAATAATATCCGATAACGGCTCAACATTTCATTCAAAGTCATTTCAAAAGCTATTAGAACAATATGGAGTAAGCCACTATCCAGTTACGCCTCTACACCCTCAATCGAATGGAATTTGCGAGAGAGTTATTGGCACACTCAAAAATAAAGTTACTCGAGCGCTAGAAAACACCCGATCACATATACCTACAGTAATGAGCTACAACAATACAATACACCCAAGCACAGGATTTTCACCTTACGAACTCTTTTATGCCCGTGCACCACGTGAAATGATAACCGGTCCTCTGCTACGAGATATTATCGAAGGGAAATTCCACAAAGCCAATCGAGATAAAATCACCGCAAAAGTAAAGATCGATAAAAGTAAACAGAGAAATAAAAAATTAGTGGACTCACGACAAGCATTAAAATTTAAACCAGAATTACAGCAACAAGTGATGTTCAAGTTAGGGAACGAATATCAAGGGCCGGGAACAATACTTACAATAAATCGAAATGCTAATACCAGACAGATATTATATAATAATGCTTTATTTAGACGACATTTCAATCAATTAAAGCCATTGCCTGACGTTTTTATTTCAAATGAGGGAACTCTTAGTGCTACTCAACATATTCATTAATGTACAAGGAAAAATCAGTATAACACATCAATCTGTACCATTGCTGAGACAGAATTTCGGCACTGCTTTTCTTTACGAAGATACTTGGACCATAGTCAATCATATTAACTTGACTGTACTGCTACTTAACGGAAGAGAAATTGAACAGCATTTAGATCTCATAACTACCACGTGTAGTGGCCACAAGTGTCAAGCTAAAGATTTCATTGCACACCAGAAACGCCGATTACGCAGTCTAACGCAGAAGTTATCGCTTTTTCAGCCACACCCTGTAGAAGCCAAAAACAGAAAAAAAAGAGGCTTATTTAACTTTGTCGGATCAGTCAACAAATTTCTTTTTGGTACAATGGACGCAAATGACGCAGAGTACTATAATCAAGAAATCGACAAACTATATAACCATACAGGGAAAGCCCTGCTAGCAGTCAGAAATCAAACAATATTTATGCAGGATACTTTTAATGAATTTTCAAAAGAATTTCATACATTCAAGAATAACGAGCAGGAATTCTTAAATTGGAGTAGGAAAATGAAATCTGTATTTACAGACTATCAGGCAAACACAATGATACATCTATCACTTGAAGAAATCGACGTAGCGATTGAAGATTACGATAATTATATTACAGAGTTATTTACGGCTATAAACATTGCTCGAAACGGCTTATTATCACCAGCACTTATGAAGCCAGAAACACTCATACAAGGTCTACGTGAAGCATATGAACAAAATGTATATATCGACATACTTTTACCACCTCACATAAATAATTATTTCTCTATTATACAGTCCATGACATTTTCATCATACATATCCAAAGCAGGACTTACAATAGTTACTAAATACCCCATTGCACATGCAGATCCTTATGAAATTCTAAAGTTACGAGCACTACCTTTTGAAAGTCGCTTAAACGTACTTGGATTGTTCGATGTAACACAGCAATACATACTCGTATCAAAGGATAACACTAAATACACGACTATTGATGACGTTAACACATGCTCACGCAATGATCAAGGAAGACTATGCCCAATTCAGTTCTTTCCAAAACGCCTGCAGTCACTAGATAATTGTGAAAGACTTCTCTTTGACGATGTAACGAAATGCCCGCCAAAGTACTTTGCATTATCGCAACCCTTCATACAAAGATTAAACAACACCAGCTTTTACATACTACCTACCGCTGTGATGCAGTTTAGTCTCTTCTGTCGTTCTTATATAAAGGATTTACAAATAGAGCAACCAACTGTTGTACAACTATCTGACGGATGTTTTCTTACTAATGTTGATTACAGACTCGAAATCACACATGACGTACGTACTCACACTGAAAGCTACCCAAAAATAGACATTCCATCACTTCCACAAAATACCTCATCCGTGATTCCTACATTAACCTTACAAACGCACCACTTAGAGAATTTACACACAAAAGCGTCAAATTTAAAACAAATCGAGGAGGAGCTTGAATTATTATCAAAGGAACAACGTCATCACTCCTATATCGCTACCGCCGTAGATTACCTGCACTACGCTGGATACATTGCGCTCGCACTTATAGCAATTTATATTAGTTATAAGATAGGGTTGTTTAGTGCCATAGCTGTATTTTTACGATATATTTTTAGACGTCTTACAGGACATTGTTGTTGTCATAATCGTGCATCCACTTCAGATATAGTTACCTACACTCGTTGCTCTAACGTTAAAGCTGTTGTCGATCCGATTAATAATGATGTTGTCTGTAACTCTTTTATGTTGCACAAAGTGCCACCACAGGTTGCGAACATATTGTGAGATTCTTGAGGACAAGAATCAGCTTAAGGAAGGGATTGTCATGCGAACTAATAATAAAATAATATAGTTATCTCCTGTAGCTAAGAACATATGTTATACACGCGTATTCGTTGCATACGCGGGCCGACTGAAGTAGAAGACATAAGAAAGGCCGAAACAAACAAACTGTACGCGGTAAATACATGATAGACCAGAAATGAAATAGAACATAGACAGCTGCAAACCTAAATAAACAATTGAGCGATATGACTCTCTCGGTTTCCAGGATATACTTATTCCTGAAGGAAGTGGTAGGGACTTATCTCAAGTTTGTGAGCCCCCGAGAGGGACAAGCGCAGGCAGTCCTGTACACGATCTCGCCTTGTAAAGACATCTCTCTGGAGCTCTGTCACTTTATAATAAAAGTATTATTATATAACTGCCGACTTCGACGCCTAGATTCCTGCAAGTACCCACACGCGCCTTATAACTCGACTATCGCTACCGCAGCGTGTAAAACTTGCCGTGACATTCATCAAAATTGGATGACAAAGAGCAGTATCGGTCGGTGATTCGATTCTTGTTTTTGGAAGGGAAATCGCATAGCGAAATCAAAAAGCGCTTGGATGCTGTGTATGGTGACTCTTCTCCTTCGATGGCGACCGTCAAAAATTGGTTTAATGAGTTTCAACGTGGTCGCACGTCGATTTTTGAAGAGCCACGTCCAGGTGCTCCGAAAACGGCTACCACGGAGGATAACGTGACAAAAATTCACGATCTCGTATTGGCAGATCGAGAATTAAAGGTGGGCGAGATAGCTAAGATCGTAGGGATCTCAAAAGACCGCGTGGGTCATGTCCTGCATGAAATTTTGGGCATGAGAAAGCTGTCGGCGCGATGGATGCCGCATTTGCTCACTCCGGACAACAAGCGCAACCGTGAGATAACTTCAGAGCAATGTCTGACGCTGTTTAAGCGCAATCCGAAGGAGTTTCTGCGTTGTTTCGTGACAGTCGACGAAACATGGATCCACTGGTATACACCAGAGACCAAGGAACAGTCAAAACAGTAGACTTTACCCGGCGAAAGTGCTCCGAAGAAGGCGAAGACTGCCTCATCGGCCGGAAAGGTGATGGCCACCGTTTTCTGGGATTCACAAGGTGTGATCTACATGGACTACCTGGAAAGGGGAAAAACGGTCACAGGGCTGTACTATGCCGAATTATTGGGAAAAAAATTATTGCAGAAAAAACGGCCCCATTTGGCGAAGAAAAAAGTGCTCTTCCACTATGACAACGCACCGGCTCACACCTCCGCCGTTGCCATGGCCAAATTGGTCGAATTTGGCTACGACCTGCTACCCCATCCACCGTATTCTTCAGATTTAGCCCCGTGCGACTTCTTTTTGTTTCCAAACTTGAAAAAGTCACTCGCCGGGCAGAAATTTGAGTCGAATGAGGAGGTAATCGCTGCCACGGAAGCCTACTTTTCAGACCTCGAGGAAACGTATTTTTTAGACGGGTTAAAGAAGTTGGAGTATCGCTGGGCCAAGTGTATCGAACTAAAAGGAGACTATGTTGAAAAATAAAACGCCATTTTTCCAAAATTTTCGTTTTTCTTTTGTACGCTAAGTATGTATCGGACCACCCTCGTATATCATGTGAAGAATCTATCTATCTATCTCTTATTTTAATTGACTTTGTGTCAAAATTAAGACTTGCTTCACTAGGAATTTCAAGAAATTAAAAAGGAATTTCAGGAAAGTCATTTTGCACAATATAGAATTTCATTGGTATCTCAAATAATTTCAGTTTTATTGACCCTAAGGTTCTATGGGTTAAATCATTAATATCTATCAGGTCAATTTGATCGGTCTCATCACGAATTCCTAAAACATATTATTCCTTTATCAGACTCTGTTCAGATAAGGTATTAATCATGTACTGTGTCCATCCGTATTTTGCATTATATATGTTCAATAAAGGAGGTTTTTCGTCAACGAGGAGTGTATACAAAATGTAAATTTTCCTATGTTTCTGCACGTTACTCTCACTAATAACAGGTTTCACTGTATTACTTCCGTTTATGCTATTGTTACTATAATTTATTCTTGTGCTGGTGACGTACAAGAAGTTTTGATCTATGATTCCATGATATGACATTTGACAATTTGTAACAACATAAAATACAATTTCATTTCCGGTTATTGGTTTGATAAATTCACATTCTTGATAGTCATCTTCATCGAAAATACTCTGCATGGATAAGATATTGGTCATTCGAATAGGTATATCATCCGGTATACAGCAGGATTTAATGATATTGGTATTAGAAGTAGAATCAATTAAGAATTGAAATTCTTCACCTGTTTGTTTGCTAATATAAGAGTAATCTAGATTCTTAATTTCTCTATTATCCTGACGTATGTGCTTTACATCAAGTGGTTCTATCCGATTTCGTGATAATGCATCAGCCTTCACATTGGCTTTGTCTGCGCGATAAATGATCTCATATTCATATATAGAGATTTGAAAACGCCATTTCAAAATCCTGGTATTGAGGTCGGCTTTTTAAACCAAACTAAAGGCTGGTGATCAGTAATAATGGTGATTTTCCTTTCGAAGACATACGATTTGAATGCCTTGATACTGTGAATAATTGTAAGCGCTTCCTTTTCATAATCTTCGTAATTCAATCCCGGACCACGTAGTACTCAAGAGGTGTACGCAATAGGTTGATCTGATCCAAATGGGCCTTGTTAGAGTAATCCTGCTATCGCGATTCCAGAGGCGTCAGTACAAATGATGTAATCTTTGTCAAGATTTGGGAATTGTAATAGCGGAGCGCTACACAACAAGTCTTTAAGTTTACAAAATGAACTTTCGATTTTATCTGTCCATTCAAACACCGTATCCTTTTGCAGATATCTGGTTAAAGATTTAGCAATTTTTGTAAAATCTTTAATGAATCTACGATAATAACCACATAACCCTAAAAATTGACGTACAGCTTTAACTATGTTTGGTCTTGGAAATTCTTTCATTACTTCGATTTTTTTCTGGTCTGACTCTAGACCAATTTCACTTATTATATAACCTAAGTAATTAACTCGTCGCATCAAAAACTTGCATTTTCCAATCTGCAATTTCAATTCTGTCTTTCGTAATCTTTCAACTAACATTCGGAATTTACGATCATGTTCTTCAAGTGTGTTAGCATA